GCTACTGGAGAGGCTGAGGCAGAGACTCACTTGATCACTTGAACCCGGGAGGCAGAATTTGCAGTGAGCTGAGATTACATGCCACATGCCATAGCACTCCAGCTTAGTGAGACTCTATGGGGGGGGGGAGAAAAAAGAAAAAAAGAAAACAAATTATCAAAAACAGGACATTCCTTTAACTGATCTCAGAGACAGAAAACCAAGCTCTCCCGCTCCCAACTGCCAGTGCAGGACCTCGGTTTTCTTGAGAGCTATGGTGCTTTCCCTCTCTCTGCTCATGGTTTAGGGCCAGGACACCGTGGGTGGGGGGGGTGAGGGGCAGGGTCGCTGGGCTCTGCAGGCTAGAAAAGCTAACTCCTGAAGGACGACGGGTCCTTCGCATGGTCCACTCACACATGCAGTGATGCATCCTGAGCTTTCTTCGGGTTGTTGGTGCTTAAGTCAATCAAGGAGTCCAGGTTTGGCTGGAGAAACATGCCCTGCAGCCAGGCCACATAGCCCTGCAGGGCCCGAGAGCTCAGGAACCGCATGACCCACCAGAAGGTAGGCACCACTGGGAGACCGTGGTTGGTGGTGGGGAAGAAGGCCACCAGCACAGCCAGCTGCTGCTCAGGGTCATCGCAGCATCCCTCTAGGAAAGTGCCCATGTATTCCTCCATCTCCGGGGTGAACTTGAACTGGTTTGGGAGCTGTAAGAGTTAGGCATGGTGCTGAGCCCACAGGCTTGCGGCCTTTAGGGTTAAACAGAGGCCCAGGGTCTCCCCTGGCACACAGCAGGGCTGAGCCTGAGCTTGCTCCATTCCTGGTCACCCCAGTGCTTCTGTCTGGCGTCAAGGCCTCCCCGGGTCTGACTTCCCCAGCTTCAGTGCCTCTGGCCCCAAAAGGCCCCTCTCGCCACACTGCTGAGGGGGATGGCCTGTTTTCCTGGCTCAACGCACAGGCAGAGCAGTGGTTAAGAGGCCAGACTGACCCAGGTTCAAGGCCTACGCCACCACCAATTCCTCACTGTGTCATCTTTGGGACCCAACCCAACCACCTCTAATGCGCTGCCTCGGGGCCAGGACCCGTGTTCCACTTTTTGTCTGGCGGCTTAGCATTTTAGCAACCCTTTGCACTTGGCCATTACTGCCATTGTGTAGGTGAGTAAAGTGAGACACAAAAATGCCTAGAATAAAACTCAGGGTCAGAGGGCTCCCAGCAGGACCACGTCTGGCCTCACAGCCCAAGCTCTTCTCATTTTAATTTTCTCCAGTTGTGCCCCGGGAGTGCAGTGCCACTATCATGGCTCACTGCAGCCTCGAAATCCTGGGTTCACGGGATCCTCCCACCTCAGCCTCCTGAGTAACTGGGACTACAGGTGCACACCACCGCCCAACCCAGGCTCTTAACCACTGCCTGATGCTTCAAGTCTGCCCCTCACCCAGAATGACAGCTCTTGGAAACTTGCTGCAAAGATAAAATGAGCTGCTGAGAACAGTAAACCCAGCAGGGGCACCAGGCACACCGGTGCTCAAACACGGTCATGACGACTGTTCTCATCACTGCAACATGGGCAGGGGTGGAGGGTGGTCTGAACAGCCCGCTGGCTACCCACACCTAAGTGGGGGCCCGCTCCTTTTCAAAACTCTCAGAGGGAAGCCGGGAGCAGTGGCTCACATCTGTAATCCCAGCACTTTGGGAGGCCAAGGCGGGTGGATCACCTGAAGTCAGGAGTTTGACACCAGCCTGGCCAACATGGCAAAACCCTGTCTCTACTGAAAATACAAAAATTAGCTGGGTGTGGAGGTGGGCACCTGTAATCCCAGCTACTCAGGAGGCTGAGGCACGATAATTGCTTGAACCCGGGAGGTGGAGATTGTAGTGAGCAGAGATTGCCTCATTGCCCTCCAGCCTGGGTGACAAGAGAAAACTCCAACTCAAAACAATCTGTCGGAGGGGAAGGGGTTCAGGCAGCTCACTACCCAGACAGTGGAGACACCCAGGTCTCTCTGGCCAGGCTCCTGAGGTGCCCTCTCCCCTTCTTGGCAAGGAGAGCACTTCCCTAGCCCTTCCAGCAGCATCGGGCTGCACAGGCGGTGCCCACCTTGGCCGTGCACATGTGCTCCATGTAATGGCGGATCACGTCTCCCTGCATCACCAGCTGCAGCTGTTCCTTGGTCAGCAGGGGAAGGGCGGTGCCCAGCAGGCAGAAACACAGGTAGCTAAGAGGGACTATGGGACCGAGCATGGTCAGAGCCCTTGGTCCCCCAGCAGGGACCTCAGGACTGGTAGTCCAGCCCCATTTCACAGACAGGGAAGGAGGCTGAGAGAGGCCACATGCCACACGCACCTGGCTGGCCAGAACTGCAGCTTCAGCAGCCCCTGTTCCACCATCCCCTTCCAGAACTGCAGAAACTTGTCTTCCTTGAGTGCCAGGTAGAGCAGCTCCAGGGCGACGGCAGGCAGCTTTCATTCCTTCTTCACTGAGGACACTGCCATCTTCAGCATGTTCACCATCCTGTGGGGGGCAGGGGACTCAGGGAATGCTTGCCTCACCAGCAAGGGCCAGTGTGCCAAGAGCAGCCAGGGCACCCCCAGGCTACACAGCCAATCTGGGCTTGGCCAGATGCAGTCCCACAGCCCCAGGGAGAGCAAATCCATCCACCTCCCTCACACCTGGGAACATTCTCATCCAAAAATAGGTTGACGGATCCCACCAGCTTCTTGAGCCTAGAGGGAACTTTCTGCTGGGCCAGGAGGAAGAGCCCCAGCTGTTCAGGACAGCTGAGCATCGCATCCAAGTCAGTGCTGAGGACCTCTGGCAGCATCTCCTGCAACATGGCCTCTGAGACCTAAGGGTGGAAAGGTAAGAAATGGTGGCTTCCTCTGCAGGGTGAGCCCAGTGTGGCCTCTTTTACCTGCCAGCCTCCTGACACAGGGCCATCTGGCCAAGCATCAGAGTCATCAGAGGCCATTTGCTAAAAAACTCAAATTCCCAGGCAGCTGGGTTTTTTGACAAGCATTTTGCTGATGCTAACTGGCCCGGTACTACCTGCCTTTTTTTTTTTTTGAGACAGAGTCTTGCTTTGCCACCCAGGCTAAGTGCAGTGGTGTGATCTCAGTTCACTGTAACCTCCACCTCCCTGGTTCCAGCGATTCCCCTACCTCAGCTGGGATTACAGGTGTACACCTCCATGCCCAGCTAATTTTTGTATTTTTAGTAGAGGTGGGGTTTGACCGTATTGGCCAGGCTGGTCTCGAACTTCTGACCTCAAGTGATCCACCCACCTCACCCTCACAAATTTCTGGGATTAAAGGTGTGGGCCATGGCACCCAGCCAGAGCTACCCATTTAATTATTCCTGGTTTTGGGACTTCAGAGGACTAGCCCATTTTATACAAAAGGGGCCCTAGGTAGACAGCTGGGATTCAAATTCAGGTCCTTTTGGCTCTGAGGTCGACTCCTCAGCAGTCCTGGCCTGGGACTTCCCAGCCCCTGCCTTTCTCTTCAGGTGGCAAAAAGGCCTAGGTGTACCTTCCCAAGTCGGGCAGTGGAGGCCCAGGAGGGACCAGCCTTGACCAGGAGAACAACAGCAAACGTTTTATATACCTGCCATGTGCCGAGTTCAGTTCTAGAGCGGCACTAGCCACATGGGGCTGCTGAGCGCCTAAAAGGCAGCAAATCTGAACAGGGATGTGCCTACATGTAAAATACACGCTGGATTTTGAAACACACTGAAAAAAAGAGTAATGATACCTCAACAATTTTTTTTTTTCTGAGACAGTTTCATACTGTCACCCGGACTGAAGTGCAGTGGCGTGATCTCAGCTTGCTACAACCTCTGCCTCCCGGGTTCAAGTGATTCTCCTGCTTCAGCCTCCTGAGTAGCTGGGACTACAGGTGCCTGCCACCATGCCTGGCTAATTTTTTGTATTTTTGGTAGAGACAGGGTTTCACCATGTTGGCCAGGCTGGTCTCGAACTCCTGACCTCATGATTGACCCACCTCGCTCTCCCTCCCAAAGTGCTGGGATTACAGGTATGAGGCACTGTGCCCTGCCAGCTCAATAGTTTTGTATACAAATACATATTGAAATAATATTTTAGATATACTAGATGATGTAAATGTTACTAATGACACCTGTTTCTTTTTAACTTTTTTTTTGTGAGACAGAGTTTCACTCTCATATGGCTTGGGCTGGCTGGAGTGCAATGGCATGATCTCGGCTCACTACAACCTCCAACTCCTGGGTTTTAATGATTCTCCTGCCTCAGCCTCCCAAGTAGCTGGGATTATAGGCATATGCCACCATGCCTGGCTAATTTTTTTATAATTTTAGTAGAGATAGGGTTTCTCCATATTGGTCAGGCTGGGCTCAAACTCCCGACTTCAGGTGATACACCCACCTCCCAAAGTACCGAGATTACAGGCATGAGCCACTGTGCCGGGCCTCTTTTTACCTTTTCAACAAAGTCACTGAAACACTTCAAATTATATGTCTTTATATTTCTATGGAACAGTGCTGTTCCTGATTCTCATCTGAGCCCTCTTGATGTCTTTGTAGCAGGAAGTGTCTCCAGAGCCCCTAAGGCTGGTGAGCTCATACCTCAGAGAGAATGTCCACCAGGGCCTTCTGGGGCCGCTCCTGCAAGTGGTTCTGATACTGGGCCAGGACCTGCAGCAGCTTCACTGACTTCCTCAGCACCTCCTGGTCCTGGTCCCCACAGAGGAGCAGAGGGTATGAGCAGGGACCACTGCTGTCCCCCACCCATCCAAGACCAGCCTACACCCCCTACCCCCACCATCCTCCCAAAGTTCTCACCTTCACCAGTCAGCCTGACTGAAAGAGGGCGAGCACTCTGAACAGGTCTGCAAAGACAGCAGGTCTCACCATTGACTAGAAAAGGATTCCAGGCACAGCATGAGGGGCCGTGGGACTTCCCACCCCCAGCCTCTCACCCCCGGGGCTACTGACCTCCCCAGGCCCTCTCTCACCTTCTTCACCTGATGCAAGTCATATTTTTTTCTTGTATCTGCTGCAGGATGCTGCACAAATGGAGGTCTTCAAAAGACTGTAACAGCTGCCAGGAGGAAGAGGGGCTCAGGAAGTGGCCCAGTACATCCTCACAACTCAACCTCCCTTCCCCCTTCAACTCCTCCCAGGAAGCCTCGGGTGCCTAGTCGCACCCCATGAATGCCTCTGAAGCTGCTCTCGGAAACGAATCTTGCCTCCCTGCCCCATCTCCGCTAGGATTTCTGAAGTACCGTCTGCAAGTGGTTCTGGGACTGGGACTGGAGCTGAGCCTTGGCAGCTTTCTTTTTTTTTTTTTTTTTGAGATGGAGTCTTGCTCCATTGCCCAGACTGGAGTGCAGTGTCGTGATCTCTGCTCACTGCAACCTCCACCTCTCAGGTTCAAGCAATTCTCCTGCCTCAGCACCCACAGTAGCTGGGGATTACAGGTGTGCACCACCACACCCAGCTAATTTTTGTATTTTTAGTAGAGATGGGTTGTCAACCTGTTGGCCAGGCTGGTCTCGAACTCCTGACCTCAGGTGATCCACCCGCCTCGTCCTCCCAAAGTGCTGGGATTACAGGTGTGAGCCACCACCGCTCCCAGCCACAAAGTACCTTCTACAGTCCCTAGATTGCTCTGCTGAAATTCTCAGCCACTGGGTCTTCTCTCCATAGCCCGGTCTGAGCTCCACTCAGGCTGATCCGGCGGGCCTGGGTCTTAACTGCTCTTCCCCTTGTCAGGGCTCCTCAGAGAGTGGGCTACTCCAATCAGCTGAATGCCCTGCAGGCCTAAGGGAGCCCACCCCACCCAGCGCTCACTGCTCCCAGCAAGTGTACCTAAGAGGCCGGGTAACGCAAGCACCAGAAAGAAAACCTGCTCTGCTTCCCACTCCCCCTGCCTGGACTGCTTTGGAGACAGGCCTTGCTCACGCTTTCTCCACCTTCATGTGAGGAGGCTCCCTCAGGCTGGCCTCCAACACACTCCCGACTTCTCTCTCGGGCTGCCCCTCCGTCGGCGCTGAGACACCCGCCCTCCTCACACCCCACCGTTTTCACCTGCGTGGCTGGGATCCTGCCAGGAACAGCACCTCACCTGTGCCAGGGCCAAACTGTAGCAGGGCCGGGCTGTTTCTCGCCAGACCCCGAGTCCCGTGATTAGCCGCTTCAGGGCGTATTTCATCTCAGACCCCTGCGGAACCAAGCGCACCCTCGCGTTGAACGGTGACAAGAAGCTGCACACCCCGTGCACCTTGTCATCCAGGTTCGCGACCACGTGCCCCCATCCCAAATCCCTGGGCCCGCCGCCGCTTCCTTGTCGGGAAGTGCGCGGCCCCTGCCCCAAACCCGCCGCTCCATCTTCGGCCTAGCGCGCAGATACTCCGGCAGCTTCGTGGCCTCAAGTCGCGTCTCCTGCTCAGGCTTCGCAATGTCCCAGAAGTCCAAGAACCCACAGCTGTGTTTCAACAGGCCGTGGCGGTCCGCAGGCCGGGCGCTGTTCTGCGTGGCGTCTCCCGGCGACGGGGGCTCGGAGGGTTCCTGGCTCCCCATCTCCGCCACACTCATGGAAACACGCATGCCCCGGATCCAGCCACTTCCAGGTCAGGGCCCGGCGCATGCGCACTGTTTTTTTTAGTTGGCTCGGAGGGGGAACTGGGAGGGGCTGGGCAGGGGACGGGGGAACCAAGAGGAGCGAGGCTGGGGCGGGCACCCAGGAGGGGCGGCATTTCCGCCCTCGCTCTGAGCGGAAGTTCCTCGCTGCGCCGGCGCGGTTGTTCCAGCCTTTCGCTCACGTTCATTCTGTCCCGGAGGCTGGAGCATCTGCCCCTTTGGAGCCCCACGGGGCGGTTTCTGAGGGTCCATCTCGGAAACCAACTGAGGTGCAGCACATCATCCGCCTCGTCCCAGGGCGGCCCTGCGCTCGGAGCCCTGAGCCATTCAACAGTTACTGGCACCTGCTTTGCGCAGCGCTAGGCGGTTGGAACAAAGCGGCCGCTTTCGTGGAGGAACTCGGAGCTAAGTGAGTGCATCAAAAAAGATCGTAATTATGAGGCCGGGCGCAGTGGCTCACGCCTGTAATCCCAGCACTTTGGAAAGCCGAGGCGGGTGGATCACGAGGTCAAGATATCGAGACCATCCCCGTCTCTACTAAAAATATAAAAATTAGCTGGGCATGGTGGCGCGTGCCTGTATTCCCAGCTACTCAGGAGGCTGAGGCAGGAGAATTGCCTGAACCCAGAAGGCGGAGGTTGCGGTGAGCCGAGATCGTGCCGTTGCACTCCATTCTGGATAACAACAGTGAAAGTCCGTCTCAAAAAAAAAAAAAAAAAGATTCGTAATTATGAAGAGAACTGGGAATGCAGGGGTCCGAGGGAGCCTTTTCAGTGCTGAAACGTGAATACATCACCGGTTAAAAATACGCCTGTGGGAAGTTGAAAGGTTCCTTTTAAAGTTTCCTTTCTTGTCAAGGAATAAGCTGCTAGTAACTCTTAAGCTGTGGGGGGAAACCCAGCAAGAGCCGAGGCAAGGCAAGGGCCTGAAGTCTCAGCATGTTCTCATATAAATGTAGAATTAGTAAACAATCTTGCATGTTCTTCACATGTACCCCAAACCTAAAATGCAATAAAAAAAACCCAGAAAAAAGAATTAGAGATATAGTTATTCCTATATGTAATCATAATCATATAGCTATTTATATGTAATCATAACTATTTACAGATGTTTAATCACATAATCATATAGCTCTTCATATTAATCATACATATAGGTATGTAATGATATAATCTCTAATCTTACTTATAAGCCTCAGGAAGTATGGGACTGACATGGCATTGGAAAAGAGGTGACGCTAAAGCCAGATGCTCTAAGCCCTCTGTCACGCTCGCATAAGGGCTGCTGGAGGACACCTTGGCTGTGTGACTGTGTCAGTGCTCTGAAATCACCCGGTTTAGCCAGCTAGGGGAGGACACATCCAAGATGGTGGGACGTCTTCCTGGGGGAGTAAGGAGAAAACTCCACTCCCCCAAGCTCTTGTGGCAGGCCTGACGCTGTCACGGAGGCCCACAGACACCCAGGGACTTAACTGTTTCTCTGTGGTGCTGTGCTTGAGTGATCATGTTCCGTGGCTTCTTTCAAGTTCTGCTTCTGTACCTGGTTCCTCTTTTTCTTAGAATATAAGAATTAGTAACATAAATCTTAGTGACCTTGTTATTTCTTGACAAGTATAGGAAAAAAGTGCTGATGCCTTAGGCTTTCTCCTCACCTGGGCCTCAGTCTCCAAGACACGTGATTTACATGACCCTTCACTGACCGTCATTACCTCATTCTACCTGCTCTTCCCCCTGTAAGTGGGGTGAAAGAGCATCCAGGCCTGAGAAATAAATATGTCTGCTTTCTTTTATTTTCATATTCTTGTGGCTACTTCCTGTAGCCCAGGAAGTAAAAATTGCATTGCTAAAAGAGCCTTTGTTTCAGTGCCGATTTTTCTTTGCAGCACTGAGCATCTATTTGCACCAGCCGCTAATTATCAATCATTCAACAGAGTCTATGGTAATGATTTGAGGGGTCGGTCAGGGAAGGCCTCTGTCAGGAAGTAGCTGACATTTGGGCTGAGAGCTGAGTGACAAGAAGCCCTTCCCCACACTCCTGCAAGGATCTAAGGGGAGGAAATCCCAATCCTTACAACTGCAAAGGCCCAGGGCTGCAGGGGCTGAGGCTGCCAGGTGGCTCAGAGAAGCAAGGTTGCATAGGATCCCGGGCTAGGATTTCACTCAGAGTGTGGTAGAAGTCATTGGTGAGTTTAATGCAGGGGCAGGCCTGGATCCGATTTAAATTCTCATCAGGTGATGCTGGCTGCTGTGTGGGAAATGATGGAGTGTAGGTCCACACAAGAGGAAGAACAGGAAGACCAGTTAGAGACAGTGGTGGACTGGACCCAGGGAAATGAGAACAGGTCAGATTTCGGCTGATGTGGAGCAGGTGTGGTGGGTGATGGATTGGATGTGGGGGGAGAGGAAGTGAGGGGGATGCCAGGTAGGTTTGGGACTAAAATAACTGAGTACATTGTGGTGCCATTACTGAGCTGGAGAAGAATTTTCTTGGGAGTGGAAGGTGGAGGTCATGGGAATAAGGGTCTATTAAATCAGAGGAGCCTTTTACAATGGCAGGGAAGGGAAGCGCTGCTGGTCACACTTGCTTCCTGGTTTGAGAAGCTGTTTTCAGAAGGCTGTGGTCCAGAGAGGACCTAACGCTGTGAGGAGGTCAGGGCTACCCTTCACCTTGAATTTCCACCCATTCAACTCCAACTCACCCTCTCAACTGCTTCCCTGCTTTGCTGTCTGTTCTAGAAAGTGAGATTAAAACATTTACCTTGCACATCTAGTGCCCCAGGAGACAGGAGGTGAGCAGAGCCGGGGTGGAAGCTGAAAGATACCAACCCAGGCTCTCCCCTCTCTGTTTACTGATCACCTGTGCTGCCCATCAGGGAAGCCCCAACTCCAATTGCTTCAAGGCTGATGGGAAATTAAAGAAGCAGGAATGGAATGGCTCTTGGCCTCCAGGAGACTTGATCTTTATTTTGTATCAGCCTGGTTGAGAAAGATGGGTAGAGGGTACCCTGAAGGGAAGGACAGGATGCCAGCAGTACCCTGGGCTCTGCCTGCCCTGCTCCCTGGGGCTCAGTGCTTGCTGAGGCAGAGGCTCTGCACTCTTTCTGCTGTCCTTCCAAAAGCTGGATCTGAACTCAGTGCTCGCCCCGGGCCCTGTTGCTTATTCCTCATCACCGTCATGTTCCTTAGCTGGCAAAGGAGCCAGCGATTCCTTCAGTGTGGGTGGTTTGGAGAATGACTGTGCTAGCTCTGGATCCTGCAACTCAAATCTAGCTAACGGAAAAAGCCAGAGGTTGGGGGCCTGAGCCAGCAGTGAGCACATAATAGATGCACACTTTTTTTTAAATGAGGCTTCACTCTTGCTGCCCTGACTGAAGTGCAGTGGTGTGATCTTGGCTCACTGCAACCTCCACCTCCCAGGTTCAGGCAATTCTCGTGCCGTGCCTCAGCCTCTCAACTACCTAGGATTACAGGTGTACACCACCACATCCAGCTAAGTTTTTTATATTTTTAGTAGAGATGGCGTTTTGCCATATTGCCCAGGCTGGTCTCAAACTCCTAGCCTCAGGTGATTCACCTGCCTAGGCCTCCCAAAGTGCTGTGATTAGAGGCATGAGCCACCACACCCAGCCATTATTGTTATTATTATTTCCAAAGACAGGGTCTCACTATGTTGTCCAGGCTGGAGTGCAATGATGTAATCCTAGCCTCCTGTAGCCTTGAACTACCGGCTCAAGCAAGCTTCCTGCCTCAGCATCCCAGGTAGCTGGGACAACAGGCATCTGCCACTGCACCTGGCAAATTTAAAATTTTTGGTACAGACAAGATCTTGCTATGCTGTCTAGGCTGGTTTCAAACTCCTGGCCTCAAGGAATCTTCCTGCCTTGACCACCCAAAGTGCTTGAGATGACCGGTGTGAGCTGGGGTACACTCCATTACTGCTGCTGGGTCTGCTCTACTCCTGCCCCAGGCTTCAGATAACTCTGTCTTGTGCCAGACCATCCAGATCCTGTTAGATCCCCTGGTAGGGGCAGCAGCCATGGGGGACACGGGAGACATGCACATGCTCTGCATAGGCTGCCACCTGGAGCAGGATCCCTTGACCACAAGTGCTGGGCTGCTCTGTTGGTTCTTGCTGGCCCTGGTGCTGGTGCTGGGCCTGGGTTTGGGGCTCTGCCAGATGGCTGAGTATAGTGTGAGTCATTTCTCTGGCCATATCAGGGGTCCTTGAAGCCACTAGCCCCAACACATTGGCCTCTGTGTCATCCAGGCTGGAGGATGAGGGGACAGGCCCAGGCACTAGCGGTAGACTTGGCCGTCGTGTTGCTGAGCAGAACCCCCATGCCTGGGAACAGGTATGCAGAACCAAGGGAGCTGTTGAGCGAGGAGGTGAGAAGGAACACAGAGCCGCTGCTGTCCATGGTGGCCAGGGTGCCACTCTTGGGGCTCACAGCAGTTTGCAAGACTGGTGGGCAGGGGTCAAGGCTGGATGCCCCAGACCCTAGGGCTGCCTCCAGCATTGCAAGCAGCTCTGGGCTGGCTGAGGAACTGGGGGTGGTGAACAGGATGCCCTGGGCCATGGGTAGCTGCTGCGCTGGTTCCAAAGTGGGCCTGGGCCCAGCCAAGGGCATCTCCACCCCCAGGTCTCCTGCCAGCAGACTCAGTAGTGAGTCCCTGGCAAGGTCTGAGGTGGGAGCGAAGGCTGCCCTGCAAAGCGTGGCTGCCAGCTGTGGGTTGGTAGCTCAGGCTCCAGCGCCCAGGGGCATCCCATCAGGATGGCAAAGCAGTGGACAGAGACCTGTGCCCTGAGCTGCCAGGGGCTTGTCCACCAGGAAGCCCTCCTAAGCCAGTGTGGTAGGGCCGACTAGCAGGCATGGCCAGGGAAGGTGGCCAAAGCGTGCATGCAGCAGGTGCAGGGTGGGCAGAGCCATGAGCAGTGCCACTCTGGGGGCTAGGGTCTGTGCTGGGCCTGATGTCAGGGCCATGGAATTGCCCAAGGAGCTGTTGTGGAAGAAGCCCCAAAACATGGCACCTGCAGGAGCT